AATTAATTTATAATATAAATGCTCTGTAAATTTACATTGAGCACTATTTTGTAAAAATAAAAATATATATAAGAACACCAGATTATATATCTTACTGTTCTTTCTTTATATATATATATATATATATATATATATATATATATATATATATATATATATTCTTGAGAGGGCTGCTATTGAATTTAACCAAAATATAAATCTGCGCCCCGGATTTTTTTTCAGATATCTCCTTTCCTAAAAGATAGACTTCTTTATCAACCCAACAAGGACTATAAAAAAATTTTAAAATTGAAAGAAAACGGTTAAATTCAAAACCATCTACAATATAAAACATATGATATATAAATTAATTTCCTAAACTAAAATAATATAAATAATAATTACATTAAAAAAAAAAGGCATTCAACAACAACAATATTTACTCATTCGTTTATTAATAAGGTACACTGGGATACCGAAAAATGCTTTCCAAAATCTAAGTTAGGTATTAAGAAACAGGAAGATTTTGTTAGAAACAAAGAAAAGAATATTGAACTGTTACGCAATATCTGTCCTCCTAAATGTCAGTGAATGTTGGACAAACCCCTCACAGATGAAGAAGGAACTTGAAGCAATCGAAATGTGGTTCTGCAGAAGGATGCTGAGAATAACATGGACTGAACATGTGAACATCGAAGTTTTAAAGAAAAGAGAAACAAATTGACACTTTTACTTAACATCAGAAAAAGATAGTTGAAATTTCTAGGGCACATAATGAGGAAAGAGTGCTTGGAAATTTGGACACTCACATGACATGTTGAAGGCTAGATGAACTGATGAAAGCGACTCATAACTTACCTAACAAATATGTGTAAATGGTTGGCAGAATAGGGTTCAGGAGAGATAGCGAAATGACAAAATTTGTCAAAAGAGCTACAAAAGACAGGAAATTGTGGAGAGCCACGATCGTCAACAGGACATGTTGCATAGAAAACGAAGACTATACGCTAAAACGAGTAGTAACATTGGAGCAATCAAGTTTTGCAAATTACCATAATAAGTTGGAAACTTACATAGCCTTGTGCCAGCCTAAGCAAGGCTTAATGGCATTTGGTAAGAGATAATTGTTTTTAAACAAGTTACTCAATTCATTTCTACTATAGTAAACTACAACCTAATTCACATGGCCTTGTGCCATTGTAAATATTGATCAAAGAGACTTGTGACATGAGATAATGCTTTGTAAATTAGTTACGAATATCATTACTCTTGTAGTGAATTTAAATCTCCCTCTCATGATCTTGTGCCAGCCTAAACCAAGCTTAGGAACATTTTCGAAAGGGGCAATGTTTTCTAAACTAATATAATTATTGTTGTGAGTACGATGTTCACTGGGTGCACTGGACTTGTAACTTAGTACCAGACGAACCAGAATTTTAAGTGACTCACCGTGGAGTAGCAGATTAGCATGATAATATTACTGACAATTAGTACGGCATTGTTGCTCCCTATTTGCGGCCTTGTGTCAGACTTTTTTGTTTATTTGAGGAGGTTTCATTTCTTTCCTTTTTCGTTTTCAGGTCATAGATCTGCTGGTGAAATTACTCCAATGCAAACTGGATGGAGTTGCAGACGAGGCTAATTTAATCCAAGTTTTTAAGGAGGCCTACGAGATTCTCTACACGTACATGATTGGCAAAAGCCGGAAAAATGCGCTCTACTTTGCCAAGTACATTGAGTTCTTCCAAACACAATTCACACAAAAGGTAAGAAAGATACCTACTCTTATTCCACAGTTTTCTCTTTATATAATGCGCACTTTCCTTCTACAAAGTCTGTCTCTAAAATCATAGCATAGTACAGTGGTTCCCAGACGTTTTTTTTCTCTGGGCCGCATTTTCGGAATTAAAATTTTCTCGCGTCTCACCAAATTTTATGTGATAAAAAGTACATGTAAGAAATAAAAAGAAGAGAAGATTAGAGTGAGATAAGTCAGAAAATACCATTGATAATTCTCTTCTCCAATTTGCGGACCCTAGTTACTATATTCTTAATCTTACTTATTATAAAATGCAGATTGTGTGTGTGTGTGTGTGTGTGTGTGTGTGTGTGTGTGTGTGTGTCTGTAACGTTTATATATTGGATCGGATTTGCTACATTTCCTACAAAATTTCAAAGGACTACATAAAATTACCTTGTGGTGGTTCTAACAGCACCAAAAATGGGAAAAATATAATTGTTTTTGCACAAAATCAATTTGAAAACACGATGAAGAGACATCGTGAAAATGGAAGGGGGACAACTCACATCGGGTTGTTTGTGTGTGTGGGTTCCTTTAAATATGGGAGCGGATTTCCTATATTTTTCATCCGATAAAACAAAAATTCACTTTTTTTTTTTTTTTGGCAGGTATTGTTTATTTTTAATATTCAGAATGCTTTAAAAATTCCATTTACAAGACAATTATTTATAATAAAATTCTATTCAATCGATAGAGACTCATAACGATTGAAAACAATGTTTTTGTTTGAGTTTGGGTTTGACCAATTCGTAAAAAAACAAAAAAACAAAACAAAAAAAAACTAATTAAGACATGCGTGTCCGTCAACCTTAAACAATAATCTTTGTCAATTTTATTTTTCAGTCTTTATGATGGTGGATACTTGATCTATCTCTTACTGTTATATCCCCGGGCAATGCCGGGCTCTTCTGCTAGTACTTGATATAATGCAAAAATATCACAATGATAAAATCGGTCAATAATTATTTATAATTATTTATACTGGGACTCATGCATGCAATTACAAGTAATCCATAATAATATTTTAAATTTTGAGAACATATTTATTTTTGGCATCTGAATTTTCTGAAACTGTTTGTAAACATTGTTTGTCTTTCAATCATTCCGCCTCACCTGCTATCCTCTTCCGCCGTATCTATGAAGCACGTCACACCATTATTGAACCACTGATATAACATAAAGTCTATAATTCTGAATCGGTCGATGAGTTGAGCTGTGTGAAATGCATATATCATAGAATTGTTTGAAGGGTTCTTAGAAAAAAATCAGTGTAAGAGTGCATGCTCAGTAAAAAGATTTGATTTTTACGGTTTATCAGCCATTTGCGGATTACTTAAAGCCAAAACATATTTTAGATTATAAGAATAATTATTTTTTGCGAGTGAATAATGCATTAACAGTTTTTGGGAGATAGCAAAAATGTTTTCAGATATAAGTACTATTATTTAACCCATAGCTGGAGGCGGAAGAGATAGATCCATATCTTCCCCAAGTTATGCGGATATGTGAATGTCACGAACTCGACAGGAATTCGAACTCGAACCACAAGCACACCCACAAGCAATCTACAGAAGTAATACAAGGGTGGTAGGTTACAAATATAGTTATAAACCTACAACGGGACCCTCACCCAGCACTCCCCTGGTCGGCCAATAGACTACCTCACATTGCCTTTCCGTTTTCCGTCAGGTTGGAATGCGCCAAAATATAGTCCCCAGAACTACTATCACGTGGTACTCAAACATTTGGCGGAAAATGTAGTGGCGTACTTACGTGTATGTCACACTCTTTATCGTAATGTGCTACATATATTAATATTCATTTACTGTATTAATTTAGAATTTTTAGTTTTTTACAGGCTTTTTTAAATCTATTCTTTATATATTATATTTTACTTCAAATATTACTGTAAAAAAAGTACATTTTACTACAGCAAAAATCTTAAGCTTTTACGATAAGATCTTTCAATTTCGCATTTAATGATCATTATCTTAAAGGGATGAACTATATTTTATCATACTGTTAAATATGAATTTAAATAATTAGGTGCCACTTTTTACCCAAATACACTCAAATATTTTTTTTAAAATATCAATTTCAATAAAGAAATATTGAAATAAGGAAACTTAACTTTAAATTTAGATTTAGTAATTTAAGCACTTGAAATTCAGTGGTAATTGTTAGTCTTATTCCACCTTATAAAACTTCTAATTAAAATACTTAAAGTATTGCTTGTTACTATTTTTACTTGTACTTTTTCGGTGAAATGTCCGTTCGGTCAAATGACTCTCGGCCAAATGTCCGCCTGCCAAATATCTGTCGGCCCTAATGTCTGGCCACGCTATCACGCTGGTGTCGATATTCATTGACCCACTCTCTTTAGCTGAATGAGGAAAGTGCTGTTGAAGAATTTAAATACACAGAGCCAAGCATCTTGGTTTTTGTTGATATTTATCCTCTTCTCATGGTGCTAGGATGCGGTACAAGGACAATTTAACGTGGGTTACCCAATACGCGTACATATGGTCTACGGACAAAAAATGCCATTTCCCATGACAGGAATCATAACGGTGTGAGTATCCACAAACCTCTTTCTTATAAGTGTAATGAAGAAGAGACTACCGTTGCTAGGATATCTCCAGGGCAAGGCATCTTGGTTGATCTCACTTCCTCCCGTTTGTTTCTGCTAATATGAGAGATTATATCTCCCACCTAAAGCAGAGTGGTTCGCCGACAGACATAGAAAGAACTTTCTAGGACTATGGTATAGTTAACACGAACAACACGTTCGTTGGCGGTTGTCGTTCGAAGAGCTATCAACTTGAAGAATTCAAGAGGTTTTTCAAAGCGGTGTATTTCCCACCATTATTTGAATAAAAAAAAGTGCTAAAAATCACCGTGTGTATTATATCACACACCATGTTTAACGGTAAGCCAACATGTTCAGATAACATGTACCTGTTTGCTTTGAGCGATTCATTTATTTTTACGGATTATCAACCCTTTGCAAGTTATTTCAAACCAGAAAAAATTTCGGTCATAAGAATGGCCTTATTACTAATTAATTTATAGCTGGTTGGGGTGGAGAAAAATGAATTCATACCTTCCCCAAAGGATATTTGTGCGTTGGTGAATATAACGAAAACCAACTGGAATTGGAACTCAGCACTTCGATTAATAATTCCGAGCTTTTATTCCTTACACCACCCGCACATCCAAGCTTACAGCACTTGGTATTCTCAAATGGTCACCCATCTAAGTACTGACCAGGCTCGACGTTGTTTAACTTCGGTGATCGTACGTATCTCGGTTTGATGAAAAATTTTGCAACTAGATAACTAAACGGAAATAGCAGAAAATGCAAAAATTAAGAGAGAATGTCTTCACATATTTTAATTTAAAAGAGGTATACCCTCCGTATAATGCGCACTAAGCAAGAATAATTGTAACAATCATTGTGTGCATTTTAATACAAAAGCTGTTGCTTAGTGTAGAGTTAACTGATACCCACACGTTCATGTTCACCGGTACAGAGCGTGACGGAACTAACATGACACTTATTGTCAGTAAGTTCGTTTTATGTAGGTCCAATGATGCTATACCAGCTTTACGTGAAGCAGTAAGCATAATAAACCAAATAGCTTGACATCAATAAAACTTATTTTCTATATTTCATTAACAGTAACAATAAAAATGGAAGAAAAGAACCAGAAAAATCAAAACGCTTAAAGACGCAAAGAAGCGATATTAAAATTATTAAATTGACATAGCACAAGAAACCAAAACTATTTGTTAATCCTTATTAAAAACGAAAAGGTCTCAGACATAAGGCAATTTAATATTTAAATATGTAACAAATCAAGAAAAATTACCTGTAACCCAGAGGAAAATATATTTTTTTTAAATTCTTAAATTATTTTTGTTGGCTTTTAAACAAAACATATATATATTATATACCACATTCACTTACGTACTAATACGCTTGGGAATTGGTATTAATCCTCTTCTCCCATCTAGCTATGGATAAATAGAAGGACAGAGCGGGTTCTATAGCCTTGGATGGCAACTAGTCTAGGAGAAGGAGAACTCTGAATTAAAAACCTGCAGAGAGTCATTTGGGATCATTGTGGCACGTAATGTACCAGGTCTCTTTATTCGGCCCTTCAAAAAGTGAGGTTGGTTCTGCACAAAGGATCGGAAAATATCTTCGAAAACAGAATTTTGAGTTCTTCTGTAGTCTAGTGTTGCCTATGGAAACAGTATACCTCGCAAAAAAAAATCTCCGCCAACATAGGACCAGATTGCAATCAAATTGAAGGCTGCAGCGAGGAAAAGAAAGTTCCGTGCAAATGTAAACCCAGATCAAACGGCAGCCAGGAGAGCTAATGCTGGGAATATGCAAGGACTTAAGGACTCTCAAACTCCTGAACAAGCCGAAGTCCCAATCAAGAGCCCTTCGCAGGAGCTAGTTTAAATGCCACCCGATAGGGCGGCTTTTAAACTAATAGTATTATAAATCATAAAGGAAGCTTTGCTTACTTGAGTGGACAGAAGAGCCATGCCCTGCTAAACAAAAGCCAAACCTTTCCTCGCAGCGTGTTCTATTCGTTGTATAAATTTAGCTATCTTATTTGCAATATCGTTTTATATCTCATCTGCTGTTTGCCTTTAGTTACATTATAATCCCGTTATCATAGCCTTTCATAAAAAATATTCAAGCACAAGCACGAATTCATATGCGAGTGGAACCTAAGATTAAACTTTACCCTTTTTGTCGTAGTAGAAATAATTTCAAGAGCAGCACAAACTATGGTAAGTGTTACAAAAACTAAGAACCATCTAGAAAGGCAAGAAAATCTACTACAAAATCAGCCTTGGTGTCTCCTATGTAGATCGCATAAAAAATAACGTAATGTGAGACTGCGTAAGACAAGAACAAATCCCGTTGAAAGACCTGTATCCACTATCAAGAAGAGAAAATTGAAATGATATGGATACAGCCTAAGAGAGAAAAAATGTGTTACTTCGAAGCGATGTAATGGTTAACAGTCTTGTCTCGCGAGGTCACTTACAACTGAGCAGAGAGTTAGATACTCACTGCCCGACACTTTTGGCCTTGCGTCATATCTAAGCTGCACTTGGTGTAATGGTTAGCAAGCTTGTCTTGCTACATTAGTTACGACTGAATAAGTTGGGGCCTCCATGCGTTCTGCCTACGCTTATAAAATCATCATGGACATATCGACGCGTCAATTACAACTGATTAGTGAGTTCGATTTTCACTGCTTAAATCATATCTAAGCTACACTTGGTGCAATGGTTAGCAAGCGTGTCTCGCTAAAATAATTACAACCGAGTAGTGAGTTCGATCCTCAATGGATACCCCATCGTTGGGTCTTCTACGCTTAGAAAACCAATGGGTACATCGACGTGGTGTTATTGCTAGCTAGATCGTTTCGCTAAATTAATACGACTGAGTAATGGGTTCGATCCTTACTGGGTGCTCCTTGTACCACATCTAAGCTACGCTTAGAAAATCACCATAAGAGATAACAAGGTTTCTATTAATAACTTTCAAGTGTCTACCTTAAACAAAAGAAGACGCGTGCGCAGATGATGAATGAGTCACACTTCCGCTCTCAACTAGAGGAAAATAAATAAAAGCATTTCTGAATGAAGTGACGTTTTTTGAATTGTGGGTATTTGGAGAGAAAATCTGTTTTATTTCTTCAAGTTTATTTGAAGACCAACGAATATTCTTTATTAAAGATGTTTTTAATTTTTTTTGCTTTGTCCGGAAGTTTATGGTGTTGATATTCAAAGATTGTGTGTGTCCGCTCAAGGTTAGGAACATTAATTAAATACACATAAAGTTAACTGCGTGTGTTGATAGCGGGGGAAATATTAATTAACACTTTGACCTCGAATAAATACATTTTGTCATTATTCTCCACGCCCATTCAAACAGAATATGACAAAATGCGTATATAGGACTGGAGAGAAAAAAATTGCTCCGCTCAGACTTCTCTGACTAGAGGATGTCCCCAGAAACTAAGCATATTAATTAACGCGTGTAAGAAACGTTGTTTCAGATCGATCTGTAAGCCGATTCAAACAAGGTTAAAAAAAAATCAGTTCACTCCAAGCAAGGGCTACTAGTAGTAAAAGAGAATGAAAAGTCTTTAGATGGAGTCCAAAATTCAATCCTAAATAGGAGAGAAGAGATACATCTCTACTCCCGTTCAAAAAACAGGGTGGAATGTGAACCGGACAATAATATAGCACAAGGCTAAGTTTTAAGTGATAATCCCAAAAGCCTAATGGAATCAGATTTATTTTATGAAAAGAGTTTTATAAAATAAATAGACAATTACTGTCTATATTATTTAATGAAACGTATATATATATATATATATATATATATATATATATATATATATATATATATATATATATATATAGTTAAGTTATGAAAAACTTGGTATCTGATGAAAGGGCTCTGGTGAAATAAATTATTATAATGGAACCTTAAAGTGATCTGTTTTTTTTAAATTATAATATATATATATATATATATATATATATATATATATATATATATATATATGCAGAAAACCAGTATGACAACTTAAAAAAAAAGTTTTTGTGACGCGTTTCATCCGTTAGGATTTTATCAGAATGGGCTTTGTTGATACGTCTACATATGAAACGAGAGACGCTGGTAGTTTCAAAATTTTTGAAAGAATATTTTTTTAAATTTAGCCAAATTCATCTGTATTCTTATTTTTTCTCTCTATCACTTTTGTCCCTGGTTATACCACATTGAGACAACAGAAATATACCAAGAATGGTGATATATTGTAAGATCCTGGAATTTACCGTGGCTGAACGAGCGATCAAGATACTTTCTGGAAGTTTTCTTCTTAGTGAATTATTTTCTCTTTTAATCAAAGTAGCATTCTTTATGTCAACATGGTGGTTAGTTTCGTTACGATGCAAAACGTTACCAATGCGTTTTATGAGTGCTTTTTAAGATGTCCCTTTTGTGTTCAACTACCCCAAACTATCAAACGAATGAGTGACAATCAAAACAACAAACTGAGACAAAAACTCATCAGCCTATGCACCACTTAAAAATCTGTGTGCGCATTGCATGACAAGCGTCATTACCTATATCTGTATGTACACAAAATTTCTTAAATTTTATATAAAACTACTTTCAGGGTATATGTTACTTATATAAAACTACCTTCGGAGTATATGTATAAGTTATTTGCGTTATGAAATGTAAAGGAATGTCGTGTTTATGCTTGGGTTACATTCTGAAGCTGCTTCATTTTATAGATCCTATATACAAATTAAATCACCTATATTCCAAAATCCGAAAATATCTGAAAACCGAAGCACTTTCGGTCCTAAAAATTTCAGATAAAGGATCCTCAACCTATATATATATATATATAATTGGGAAATTGACCAGCAATTCCTCTCTAGTACATTTTCCCTTAAAAATGATTGACAAGTTACTTCTTTACGCTTTTAATAATTGTTTTTTTCTTGTGTACGAACATTTAAAGCAACAGGAAAATTTACTAACATACACGTCGAATAATAAAAATTAATACACACTTATAACTGTAAAAACGTAGGAGACTTTATTATAAAATAAAACATTTAACAACATCAGTTATAAAGCTATAATGTATTGGCCATATTCGGGAATTAAAAATATAACTACTTCTCAGGAAATTCACCATATTTGCAAAAGCACAGCGAACGTTAATGAAAATGATTAATAAATTGACCGAAATTACTCAGCACTATTTGAAATAGTTAACAGAACGACCTTATGAGTTGTTTTTAATGAAATATGTATTGGAAGGACTTGCTGCCCAAATACAACTATATATATATATATATATATATATATATATATATATATAGTTGTATTTGGGCAGCAATAATATATCTATCTATCTATATATATATATATATATATATATATATATATATATATATATATATATATATATGAGATGAATCTTCATTTAGAAATATCGTGAGGAAATACACTAAAAAAATCTAATTATCTACTACAAAAAATTTAAAACAGTTAACCTTACCCCCAAAAATAACAACACACCAGCAACATCAAAATTACAACGAACGAACATTATCTATGAGTTCAAATGCCCCTTAAAGAAGTGTGTTCCTGATCAAACCGAATTCATGAATAATTATATTGGTCACAGTACTACATACCTATCTAGACGCCTTACGTTACACCTATCCGACCACAGCTCTATTAGAATCCATTTAAACACACAAACTTACCAGACTTTATCCAAAACATTCTAGTAGAAAATACAAACATAATAACTTCATCCACACGTAAAAAAAGATAAAAAATAATGGAAGCCTTAATAATAAGAAAAAAAGCCAACACTTAATAATATTAACTACGAACACGGCCACAATGTGCTAACTGTGTTCGGAAAATAAAACATCCCTATTATTCTAAAAACATACACCCAACCTATACACCCAATTAAAAATTAGAAAATAAAATCATCCTTGATAATGGCTAAAAGTATAGCCGAAAGCGCTCGGAATTATAGGGCATTTGGACAGTTTTTACACATTCTGTTTTCAGAAAAGAAAATACTAGTTCGAACACAAGAAAAATTAAATAAAAATTTTAATCGTAGTACCTTGTCTGTCGTCTTTAATGAACGTGTATAAATGAAGGATTGCTACCTAAATATACAATATGTGTATGTGTGTGGGGGGGGGTACATTATTGTAGAGAAAGGAGAGTGACATCTCGACCGCAATTTTGCGAATTTAACTTTCTCATCGCCGTTCAATGGTTTGCCCGTTTCATCTCTCATCCTCTTCTCTCAACGCTGCCGGTAGACATTCTTTCTAAAATGTTTTATGGAAGTCTAAGGGCTTAGACTTGAATTTCTGGAATGTGTTTTATGCTCAACAAAAGCAATTCTGTTTCCACGGCGCCGTCTCTGTTGCAAATTGTATTTTATTTCATGTTCAGCCTTCTGTAGCCACCCACCCACCTGTTTCGCGTCGAACGTTCATTGCCGACAACTGCAAATAAAAACGTCATTCTCGATAATTCGTCAGGCCATTTTTGCTCTGAACATTCGATATATATATATATATATATATATATATATATATATATATATATATATATATATATATATATATATATATATATATATATATATATATATATATATATATATATCCTTGTTGACAATGGGAGACTTAAGGCTTCACGTTGGAACACCGGTTTTCGTCTGGTTAGCGAAGTTAAGCAACATCGTCTGGTCAATAACTAGATGGGTGTCCGCTTGGGAATACCAGGTTTTGTAAGCTTGAATGTACGGTTGGTGTAATGTGTAACAGCTTGTAATTGAAAATCGAAGAGCCGAGTTCCAATTCCAGTAGGCTTCGTCATATTGAAAAAAATAAAATAAAAAAATAAATAAATCTCCATAGACACGTAAACCAGACTAGGCGAAATCATCTTCCGTTTTAAATTTAGACACCCCAACCTTACCCTGACTTGACATCTGTGAATGTAACTCTATACTGATACAAATTATTAACACCTACACCCCTTTTTATTTAAACAATCGCTCTCGCCGTTACCATAGAAATTTTGATTTCAATAATGAATATGCTATTAAAACACGTAAATTTCAGAAAAATTTCGCTTGAAGATGAAACAGAGCTTACTTTAATTAAATTTAATTCAAATAATTATATTGAAGTTTTCGGTTATTGTTTTGAAACATGTGACCTCTTATGTAGCGTGTTGGAATCATATTTTTAAATAAATAATTATATTTATGCTCTACTTTTGTATCGAGCACTATTTTTAAAAAATAATAACTAAAATACGAAAGAACTTTGGATTATTTACCTAACGAGTACTTTCCTATTTTCTATATATTTTCACACACACACACACACACATATATATATATATATATATATATATATATATATATATATATATATATATATATATATATATATATATATATAAGCAGTAATTTCTGTCATGGAAGAGACGAATACATAGATTCATAGCTTTCTCAAGGGTATTTACGCATGTGAATCTAAAGAACTCGACAGGAATTCAATCTGCTTTCCATTACACTATCCGCACATATAACGATAAATTCAGTAATTTTAAATCAAAATTATTATCAAATTCTTTAGGGTGAGCAACAAGCATTGAGTGTGGTATTTTGCATTATTTTTATGTTCTTTTTTATTGTAGTTGTGATAGTGTTGGTAGGTCATGTAATGTATCATGCTTCGTTAATTTTTTTTATATTGTCCATTTTTTTTTTTTTCAAAAATTTGACGAGATTTCTGTTTCACATCGATTATGAAATAATTAAGGTATTGGTGGAGTTTGAAAGTATTTTAGACGTATTTCTCCTCCTCACATAAATATTGAGGCCATAAATTCTAAGTGCTCTTAAATAAAAACTGATAATTATGGTGAGAATAGAAATTTACGAGATCATTTTATCAGTAGATTTACGATAGACACTTAGTTCTACGTCCTTATCAGTACGGTCTAACCTGAGAAAATGTAATATAGTTTGTTTCTGTTTCATGAGTAGATTCTATCGTACGTTCGACTTTAGTTTCTTTACAGGATCAGGTAGATTATCTGCAAGATAAAGTAAGCATTATATACAAGATCAGGTAATATTGTTTTGTGGGGATATATTAATACAGAAAAAAATATCTTTTAAATTTTAATCTTAGAATTAAAATAAAATTAAAAAAATAGCGTTCACAAATCTTCAACGCTTCCCCTATCAAAGCATAACTATAACCAGCGTTCACGTTTATGTATCCCCATTTCTCTCACAATACATATATAATACATATATAATTCCATCAGTAAGAATATTAATTTAGTCCGATGAAGTCCTTTGAGGGATCGAAACGTCTTACACACAATTTTTCCACTCTGTAATTCAACTGATATATATATATATATATATATATATATATATATATATACGCATATATTACATGAATCATTCATACAACAACAGATATAGACGTTAAAGATTTAAATATATGGCGTATTCATTCGGGTTTGATTAAATATAAATTTCGAGCTCGGTGCATACGAGGAGACTGAGCAACTGAGTGGCCATCGCGATCACCAGAACTAACGCCACCGGACATTTTTCTTGTGAGGCCTACTGAAAGATATTGTTTATAGGTTCAAACCGAAAACAGTTCCAGAATTAAAACAAGAAATTTTTGATAAATTTTCTGAAATTAATGGAGAAACTAGTCAAATGATTTGTATCAGTGTTGCTGATAAGGTTCAGGGTTGTTAGGACATGAAGGGGAACATTTCAAACATGTTAAATAGTTTGTTAATCATAAAAATTAAGTTGTTTTTATGTAACAATACTTGGGAATTTTCTTAAACTGCTATAACTTTGCTGCATATATTTTCAAAACAGTTCAGTTTATTAAATTAACCTATAAAACATTGATTAACATTAATGACTTAGAGAGGCACTACAGTTTCCTGATCCAATTCAACCCTGACCATTAACCTTTTAAAATATATATATATATATATATATATATATATATATATATATATATATATATATATATAATTTATTCGAAATTTATAATAAATATGTAATAAAATCACTACAAAAATAGCCATTTTGTTTCAACACTTCTGGTATCTTATCAAGTGTTAAGTATGGGATACCCAGTGAGGACGAACTTACTGCTCAGTCGTAACTGTCCTAGAGGAACTGGATTGCTAACCATTACGCTACGTCAAGGTGCCTAAAATGTTGTTCTAAGCGTAGCTTAGATGGGACAATCAGTCAGTTATGTGCTATGCGTGATACACGCTTAGGCGATCATGTATCAGGTATTTCGATACATGACTGACGAGGCAGATTTTTTCCCTGCAGTAGGTTGCTATTTCTTTCTGTGGTAGATCAGTTGCCATCCAAGGCTATAGAACCCAGTCTGTCCTGCTAGTTACCCATAGCTGGGGAAAAGAAGAGAATTCATACCTTTCCCAAGGGTATTAGCACATAAATGAATGTAATGGAATCGACTGCAATTTGAACTCGGCTCTCCGATTCTTCAGTTCAAGCCCATATCCTTTATTCCACTGCGCCTCCCACACACACACACACACACACATATATATATATATATATATATATATATATATTGTCTCTACCTACCCTGATGATGACAACAAATTCAAAAGCTTAGACCATATTTAATTCGAAATGAACTTTCTGCGGTAGACCAGTTGCTATCCAGGCGTATAGAACTCGGTCTGTCCCACTATTTGTCCATAGCTGACCCTCTACCAGAAAACCCCAACTATGAGTTTTGACGGAGAACGGTAGGTGCGACACTGAGATCCGAAAACGAATTGGAGAAGAGGATTCATACCTTTCCCAAGGGTATTAGCACGTAAGTGAATGTAATGGATTCGACTGGAATTCGAACTCGAATCTCTGATTCCTCATGCCGCTATCAATTACTCCACCGTGCCTCCCCGCACAAGGCCGAAAGTAGGGGCACCAAGTGAGGATCGAATTCACTACTCAGTCGAGATTGTTCTAGCGGGACAAACTTGCTAGTCAGTAGACCACGTCGAAGTGCTTCTCGAAACAATAATATAGATAAACTGTTTTGTTTTTTTCAGTATAAGTTAATAAACTGAATTGTTTTCAAAATATATGCAGTAATTTATTTACTTTTACGACAGTAAATTTTGCTACTTATGTGGTTGTTAATTTCCCTTAAGACGAAATCTCTAAATTAGAAACGGCGGCGAAATAAGATTAACCTTTTTCCTGAGAGAAACTGAAAGAAAGAGAGTAAAAGGGAATAAAAAACAGAGAAAACGGAGAAAAACAGAGAGTTATAGAGGGAGAGAGTAACTGCTAGAGAAAGTAGACAGAGTAGGAGTTAGAAGTAAAGAGGAAGAGTGTTGATATAGCGAGATGGTGGCATGCGAATGCCTTAGATTAATTTTTGAGATAATTACTTTAAGGAGAGACGCGGAATGTCTTGTATAGGCGAATTTAATGAGGTCTCAAATTCCCAAGTCCTGTTTCTTCATTGGATAGTTTATGAACCACATTGGCAGCCCCACTATATATATATATATATATATATATATATATATATATATATATATATATATATATATATATATATATATATTTCTTTTAATTGATACAAATAAACAAACAAAATAAAATTCAACTAATATCGACTCTAATTTTTTATGATGGCTGTCTACGTAATTTTGAGCGTGACCACTGTCTTACATATATGAAAATACCTGTAACTCAGAGAGATTATAATGACAGACCCTTGTACACGAAGACCGCTTTATAATTATCAACTGCCATGACCCAGTGACAAGAATATTGAAAATGACTGGTGACAGTTTTAGTTGAAGTTTTTTTTTTGTTTTGTCTATATCCCTGAGATGAGGTATTATGATCATTTACATTATTTAAACCTCTTCATTGTCATATTCACAGCGTTTCATCCGTTCTACGCTCCGACCGTCTTCAGATGATTGGAATTTCGAACCGAAACCTTTATTTCGTTCACCGAGGTAAATTATTCTAGTTCCACGTGCCATGCCCTTCTGGGTGTCTCAATTCAGAGTTGTGAGGTCAATACCAGACTACAGCAGTGGTGAACCCAAAAACTTGGAGAGATTTTTTGTTTTGTTTTTTCATGGTTGTACTTCTATTACACTGACTGCCATCAAAGTCTAAAGAGCTAAGTCTACCCTACAATTTAACCAATAGCTGGGGGAGGAGAACAGGTGGATTCCTACCTATTCCAAGGGTATTTGGTGATAGTGAACACAATGAGCGAGACTCGCTGATTCCTCGTTGTGAGCCGATAACACTAACCCTACTCACGAATTATACTATAACACCGAAAGAACGCACAATACAATATATAACAAGAACATTAAGAATTAAATGATTATATATATATATATATATATATATATATATATATATATATATATATATATATATAATATTTTGGTGATTTCTGAGGGTGTGCTTCACTGATCAATACAAGTTGAGGGTCAACCGTTATCTCTTCTACATATCCTCATAATATGCACCCTTACAAGTTTTCCATTCAGCAACCCATGAGTTTTGATAGAGGACGGTAGGTGCGACGCTGAGATTCGTAGGCGGATTGGGGTGGCCAAGAATGCATTCTAGGAGCTGGGTAGAGTACTGCGAAACAGGAGGATTTCTTTGGTGACAAAGAAAAGAGTACTGAACTGCTACGTGACATATGTCCTCCTATACGACGGTGTCCTCAAAGATGAAGACGAAACTCCAGGCGGCAGAGATGTGGTTCTACAGAAGGATGCTGAGGATATCATGGACCGAGCATTTAAAGCAACGAAGAGGTCTTGGAGAGGTTGCAACCAAGGAGGAAGCTTATGCTTAACATAAGGAAGAGGCAGATGAAATTTCTGGGACACGTAATGAGAAAGGAGGGTCTGGAAAATTTGATACTCACAGGTCGAATAGAGGGGAAAAAAGACAAGAGAAAGCAACGCATGACATACCTTGCGGGCTTAATCAATTTACGGCGTAGCGTAGTCTGGGGAAGTTGGCAGAAACACAAATCTTATTGAGCGTCACAAGGGATAAGGGGAAGTGAAGAGCCATGGTCACCAACGTCCTGAAAGGACACGGAACATAAAAGGAAAAGACTATATAAACAATAGTAAAAAGATGAAGAAGCTAAAGTAAAGGTTAATATTATTTATGCTATTTGCATGTGGAATGTTGTCTTCATTTTCTACTGGTGACAGTTTCAGTCGAAGTTTTTTTTTTTTTCATGGTTGATGCCTAAGTCTACCCTACAATTTAACCAATAGAGGAGGGGGAAGAAAAGATGGATTCCTAACTATTTCAAGAATATTTGGGGATAGTGAAGGTAATGAGCTCGACTCGACAATTTCTCATTGCGAGCCGATAACCATTACCACCCACCGAATGTTTATTATCCTATAAACACCTGAAAGTACACTCAAGACAATATATATTAGGATCCTCCATTAGGTCACGTAAAAAAGCAGCATATCACGATGAAAAAATGTCCATAAATCAACGAAAACAAAGTTTTGTCTCAATATGTTTATGTTGTTATGAAGAGGAAAGACCAAAGTATTTTTTGATTATTTTTTGAAATTTTTTACTTTCTAACACGTCGAAAATTTTTTTTTTTTTTTTTTTTTTTTTACGACAGCGCGATAAGATAAAAAAAGGGTTGGTTTTATTTTGCGCTTTTCCCGAGGAAAACACACGTTAATTAGGAAATTCTTGCAAAAATCAAATAATTGTCGGATTTTAATGAAACTTTCAGGACTTATTCAGAAATGAATGAAAGTATTTTTGAAATCTTTTTTCGATGAATAATGTATTTTTTACAATTTTTTTTCCATTTTTTAAATTTTTTTCATTAACTTCTTAATATTTCAAAAATCATTTAAAATTCTTTATTGCTTTTAAGCACGTAATGCAATGATAACGTTAATGAAAAAGTAAATTTACGAATCGAAATTTGACCCCGAATATTTTTAAAATAATTTTAAATAAAATTTCTATTGAAAAAAACCTTCATAATTTCTACGTATGGAAATGTATACATGACATAATCCTTAAAACATTTTAAACAATTATCTAATTAATAAAAAACTTTATGAAAGTATGAAATAAAAAATAGATATTACATAATTGCTGAATAAAAATTTTAATATTTAAAAAGTACTAGTTAAAAACGAAAAACCGCGTTCGCTTACTTTGCAAAAATTGTCAATTTTGATCATCCATAGTAATCTGTCATCCCCTCGTCACAATCGATTTCTTTGATAAATTCAGACACATCGTTAAGAAATGTTTGAATACAAATTTTTATGCTATAAGTAAGTACTGTTTGTTTCATATCAGATTAATTTAACTTTTCTAATTTTACTCAAATAACGTGTCAAAAATATATAAATTTATTTTAGGAAGAAGATTAAAATCAAAATTTTGTTTTTGTTTACAAATTTCTTAAAATTTAAGAAAATGGCTGCTTTTAAGAAAATTAAACAAAAATCGAGCATATATTTGACATTCCAATCTATATAATTTCTATCTGAAAGACATCAGAATATGTTACTTACTGTAAGTAATAAATTTAATGTTTTAGCTTTTAATTAATAACAACATATTGAGACAAAACTTTGTTTTCGTTGATTTATGGACCTTTTTTCATCGTGATATGCTGCTTTTCTATGTGACCTAACGGAGGACCCTAATATATAACAATAAAAATTAAGAATTAAATTATATAGCATCTTAAATGAGGAATTAAAAAAAAACTAATACTTTGCCAAAACTCCACAGTATTAAGGAAAGGATAATTGTCTGTTAAAACACTCCTAGCTAAAACTAAATGAAAATTGTAATTTAGTGTGTTCTAAGTGTCATATTATAAACCTCCACAAAATACACAAATTTTCTCCGAACATTTATTGTGGGAAATTGCATGACTTTTATGAAATACCAGAAAAATTCTGGATCTTCAAGTGAAGAATTTGAACACTTATTATTTTAACATCTTTCCCCTCCAATTAGTTTCGGAAAAACGTTTTATTTTCAAACAGATATTTTATTTGTTTTTAACATAGTAACTATGAAACCGAGGCACCTTGAAATACACGAGCTGTGACTAACACCTCTAGCAGGCGTATGAGTTGACAATTGGACTAGTTTCAAGGTAAGAGGGGCATAAAAAGATTCAAGATCGACGTATAAAAACTGGGCTTTGAACGTTATTTTTTGGACGTGTTTAATGGTCTGTGTCTGAAAAAGTCAGTTTTTTAAAAATGTATATACACGTCTACACGGGGGAAGGGGTTTTAATGTACACCTGTCTAGACAAGAAAATTTTATTAATGAAAATCTGCCCTTCAAAAGGGATTGCACTTGTATTCTCATTGTCCTGGGAAACCACGTTGATATAACGTAACCATTCGACCATGTTAATTAACTTCTGGCCTTGAATTTATTAAACCTATCTTAACGATCATTGCTACTTTATATGTCCGATCTCCACCGGATACTCAATAGTTTTGTGTTTGTAACAGACTAAACTAAGTTTAACAAATCCCTACAAAAAAAAAGTAAATTTTCTTTGATCGTTTTATGTTATCGACGTCCAGAAAGCGACCACTTTTATCTGTCAGTCTTGAGAAAGGCTCTTTGTGTAATCCAACTACTGTTTTATCAAATAAGAGTTGAAGTCTGTGTTGCGCCATTCTGCAAACTGGTAAAATCCTGCTCGTCTTTAAAAAATGACCATTTGATGCCCTGGCTTTGATCCGGGATCGAACACTGAACAAGCTTTACTAGTGTAATCTCTTTGGCTCTATATCATTTGATATATTGTAGCAGCAAATGACATCGGAAGCCAACGATCTGGCACGCATATAGTAGGCTGCATAAGATATGCAAAGGCAAGGATTTATTCTCATTAAAGAACAGGTTGAAGAAAGAAAGAAAGAAAGAAAGAAAGAAAGAAAGAAAGAAAGAAAGAAAGAAAGAAAGAAGAATGTGTTTAACGTGTCCTGCCAATACCTCAGAAATAATGGAATATTCCGTCTTGATCGCGTGGCAAAAGGGGAATAGATACTGCTTGATTTCAGTAAGGAAGGAAGGGAGATAATTAAATAATAGACTATACCATTTTGATAAACACAACACACATCAGAAACGCTATTTGAGTTCAGTGAGAAAATGAATAAAAGAAAGAAAGAAATGAAGGGAGGGAAGCTATAAGTATTTAACGGCTGTTTTCAGTGAAATGGAAAAAGTTGTCATCTTCAAATCTTTTCATTTCAACCCATTTCTTAAAATAACGACCAGAATTCATATTTATGTTTGTTATTGCAAAGTTATTCAGCTCAAATATTTAACGATGCGACACGGGAATTTCTACAGATATTTTATTGTCGTAGAACTCGCCATGAGCTTCTTCAATCATTAATCTTAAGAATTAAGATTCATCAGAATATTAAAATAGAAAAACCATAAAATTGTCACGGGTTAAACCAGTTTAAATAAATTTGTTTATTGAATTACAATAACCTGACATTCTCTTGAACTTTTTGTTTACTGAAGTATACTTCAGTTTAATTATTTAATAATTAGTTTATAAATTAAAACAAATTATTATGAACATTTAGTTATGAATTTAAACAAATTACTGTGCATGTATTCAAGTTTAAAAATCCATCAACAGTTTCTATGGCTATTAAATTTGTAAAACTCCTCTATAAAAATAATCCATGTAAATTTATATATACTAATATGAAAAAGAATAAAGATTTTCAGTAATATATGAACATTATTTGGAATGCCCCTTTTGAGCCAGACAATCTTGGAAAGGAGGTAAATGACATTCTGACTCATGGTGAAAAGGCTACATTAGGCAAATAAGTTTGAATACCACTGTCAGCCTGATTTTCCTACAACGGCTAAAGGATGCAGTCTACCCTATTTTACTAATGTTTGAATTCAGAATTTTCCTTTTCCTAAATTTAGTCCTGTCCAAGACAATAGAGCACTGTCTGTCACGCTATTTAACCCATAGCTTGAGAGAGATGGATTCATGTCTTTCCTAAACAAACAAAGTCGACCAGAATTTGAACATGGTGAAACAATGCCATTTTTTCACGCCGATAGTCGTTAATGCTAAGCGGAGTACGCTTTCATCGATTCAATTGTGAGAAAAAATATTGTACTACTCTATAAATTTGAGCCGTCAAATTTTTATTTTTGATTCCGATGCTTAAAAAAAATCATATTGCACCCGAATACATGCGAATGATCAAAGAGGAAATGCTTAAATCTGAGATTCATAACCCCGTTCGTTTGTTAGGGGTAAGATATTTAAATAAACATATATCATTTGAGATAAAGCGTACAACATCAGTCGATGGCCACATATGTTCTCACTCAGTGGCATCCCACTCTGGTGGGATGGTGAATACAAGATGTGAATGATGGCTTCCCTCGTTACAAATATGGCGGAAGCCTGGAATAATACTAAGATGGAAGGAAGTTGGTATGACATGCCGAGTTGAAACGAGGTGATAAAAAACTGGATACCAAGGACAATAAAATTAGGGCAAACAGCGAAACAAAAGTGACAGTTTGATGACTTAAGTGTACATTTTTATTTTCAAAAGAAAAGATAGAAGTGTTATTTTGACGCATTATTGTTTTGTTGCGTGATGATGAAATGCACCAAAGTTGCAAATGCCATTAAAATGAGCGGGAGAAGGCGAAATAAAATAATGAAGGAATGAAATGAACTGGAGAAGGAGAATGATAGATGAAATGGTGGATGAAAAAATGAAAATTAAAAATAAAAACGTTTAAGAAAAGAATGTGAAAGAAAAGAACGTGAAAGAAAAGAAAAAGTGAAAGAAAAGAAAAAGTGAAAGAAGAAGAGAGAGTAAGAAATGAAGAGGGGAAGGAAGTAGAATGAAAAGAAGAAAGAAAGAACGAAAAGGACAAAGATCAGAAATATTGAGGAGTGGCGGTGGTAAAAGTAAGAAAAAGATGAAAAATGTAAGAAGAAAGAAAGAAAGATGAATCTGGAAGAAGATACAAAAGAGACGAGAAAAAAGAAAGCAACATAAAGGCAAAAGAAAAAATCGAAAACGTTGGAAAGAAAGAAAGAAAGAAAGAAAGAAAGAAAGAAAGAAAGAAAGAAAGAAAGAAAGAAAGACGAATCTGCAAAAAGATGCAAAAGTGACGAGAAAAAAGAAAGCAACAAAAAGGCAAAAGAAAAAACAAAAAAGTGGGGAAGAAAGAAAGAAAGAAAGAAAGAAAGTCGAATCTGGAAGAAGATAAAAAAGAGGCGAGAAAAAAGAAAATAATACAAGGGAAAATACGAAAAAGTGGGAGAAAAAGAAAGAAAGAAAGAAAGAAAGAAAGAAAGAAAAAAAGATGAATCTGGAAGAAGATACAAAGAAATGGGGGGAATAAGAAAGAAAGAAAGAAAGAAAGAAAGAAAGAAAGAAAGAAAGAAAGAAAGAAAGAAAACCTGGAGAAAGCGAGAAAAACGAGAAAAAAAAAGCAGCCAACAAGAAAAGAACGAAAAGTGATGCATGCAAAGGAATGTGATATGAAAGAAGAAAAAGAAAGAGACTTGAAGGAAAGAATGAAAATTGAAAATAAAGTAGAAGAAATGAAAAGGGAAAGAATAAATTTGTGACGAAAACGAAAACATTTAAATTTGGCTTTCAATAAGTAAAATTGGAAAAAGATCAGTGGTACGTAAAGAATGGATGAATATCAAAAGGAAAGAGAAAAATGACCCTTCATTTCATTTAGATAGACGTGAATTCATTTAAAAAAATGACGAACGAAGAACTGCACGCACTTTTGCGCACTGAAGCGACTGTGAACAATATATAATGCAGGACGAAGAAGGAAAGATTTTTTATATATGCCGGGTGTAACGGCAAAATTGTCCAGCATGCAACAATTGTCCATCCTACAAAATGTTTAAATATTAAACAAAAAAATAAAAATAAAATAAACGAATTG